AACTACTACGTAAAAGCTTACACAAGAAGGTTTGCCTTAACATTGTTAAAAGTTTGTGGTAAACCCCGGGCGTTTTTCATGAATCATACATTTAAAACTGTCCTACCTATTCTTAAAATGCGCGGTAATATATTATTTTTAAAATTACCACAGATTACGAATGGATGACTGGGTACAAAATGACGTAATTATTTTTTTCTGTGATAACAAGTGACGAGACAAACAAGGCGTGGTAAGCTACACGCATGTCCATAGCAGTTGCAGGGGGCCTACCAAAACCTTTTCAAAAACAATCTTATTTCAACGTAAGCTTAAAATAAGCCTATTATAATTTTACTCATATTCGTACCATGACAAACCTGTCAAGTAAGTATTATTGCTAAAGTGATTGAAAGAACGAATGATTTCCCAATATTGTCTATTCCGTACTAAAAATAGGAAAGAAATAACGCTATATTAACTATATAATGCCACCTGTTTCTTTTTTGATATTCCGAATCGTCTCATCGTAGTATAATGTTTAAGTACTTAAATGTCATTTACGTTCAGAGAATTTTAACTATTAAAAAAGTATGTAACAATAAAATCTTCTAAAATTACGTTGTTTTCGATTATTTTTCCCCATTTTCATGAAGAAAAATAAATAAAACAAGATGAGTGTTGATAGTTATGTTGTGAATCCGGAATTATAGTCTAGTGTCGCCAAGAAACATGTAGATGTCGCTGTTATAATTTCACGTAATAAACATCGCGTATTTTTATTTAACGAGAAATTACTATTAAATAAAAAAATTAAAAAAATATTAAAGAGATTTATGTAAATAAATAGGTTCAATATAACTACTTATCATTACAAATCAATACTTAGACAATAAATTCGGAGATAATATTGTTTCCCCTGCGTCCGAGTAACTATTTTCAGATTGCTAAATTTGACATAAGAACAATATTACCTTAATGATAAAGTCGCGTCACAGTATGAACTGAGTGAATGAATTGTCACAAAACTGCCAATAAAACATAATTGTTTCTCAATATAATAAGCTTACTTTAAGCGTGTCATGAGGCGAAAAGTTAATATAAGGTTAAAGTAATATTGTATTAAGAAGTTGTGGTAGGTAAAAAAAAAGGCAAGCAGCCATTGACTTACAATTATATGGACGTCGGGTCCGCACTAAAAAGTGTTCGCACTTGTAAGGCGCTAAAATCGTATACAGAGCGCGACACTCCGCTTTAGTCTTCATTTGTTCTACGGACAGCGCGATACTGAGATGACATAACAATTTAAATTTCGAATAGGTTGACTTGGGACATTTTTTTCGTGGTTTTTGTATTAGACCAGTCGTCCATTTATTTGTAAGTCAATGCAAGCAGCACACTCATATCTAAATATATACTATAAGATATCTAATAGAATTTAATTCGATTGAATATTTTAAGAGTTCAAATTCTCTCAAGATATCTCGAAGAAGGTTTCTACATAATTTAAAGTGAAAAAGTGGGCACAATTTTATTAGTATATCACAAGAGTGCTTTGAGAAACTATCTGTAGGTAGTATTAAGAGTGATTCCTTTCGTTTTTCTCAAGCAACGCTTCTAGAATGCTACAAGACCATTCGTAGAATGTAGACAGTTTTTATTTAGTCTAGTAGACAGTTTTTAGATAATTTATAGTCTATGATAGCTTTCTTAGTAATGCGATTTTCAAAAACCAAAATACTAAAGCGTTACAAACATAAGACCCCATTGTCTTAATACTAATAGATTTCAAGTTTAAAATATTTAAAATATAAACTATCAAAATTGCAACATGGCGAAATTAGATATAATATTTCTGACTTTTTCGCGCAATGTTTAATCAGTTAGAAAGCGCAAATTGACGTGCGACTTTAAATACATTGTGAAAAGTGGTGTAAAACATGCCATAAAAGTAATGCGCTCGTTAAATTTTTAATATTTGTGTATAAAATATAAACTTAATAAAAATACAGTTATCGATTTTCGGTTTTAAATATTTAAAGAAAGCTT